TTTGTTGTTTGATTTGAGCAAACAACAGCCAATTAGGGTGATATTACGTTGGTCAAGGTGAGGCTAGTGTTGTAAAGTCGAGGGATCGAGAAGAAAGTGGTTCGATGGCTGAGTCTAGATGGTCTCCTGAAGGGGGCGATCGAGACATGTGCCTCCACCCCTGATTCAGCCGCTGTACCGCTTGCAGCGGCCACAGCGGGCCGGAGCGCAGCTCGCTGTTTGCCCGGGACCGGGAACGCAGCAGCAACGCAGCGGATAAAAAAATTGGGACCCCCCCGGGTTCCACAGCGCAACTGCTTGACGCTGCGCTGTTGTACATGTACAACGCAGCTGTGAAAGCTGCGTTGCAGTAGCGTTGCAGCCATTTGCAGCGCTACTGGTCCAATGTTGACAGAAGCATGGAGAAGCAGCTTCAGCTTCTTCAGAGGCTGACAGTCCCCAACAAAAACCAGTTCAAAAGATCACTTATCTTTATCACCCTTGCAACATCTACAACTCAAGAGAGAGTGGGATGTTTAATGGGTAAGGAAATCACTACCCAACAGTTTTGGTAACATTATGAGACCATGATTTTCAATTTCAAGGCTCTTTGCTGCCTATGTATGTATCACTGCATATTGTTGTAGGATGCCTCCTGAGAAAGGTCCTTCAAATGAAAGCAAATCCAGAACACAGTCCAACAAGATTTGTTTAACCTTCACCATGCCTGTTTCCATGTACCACATCCACGTGTACACACCAATCAGTCCATGTAGAGTATGGATATAACCTACAAATAAGTTTCAGAGCCAAGCAAAGAACAGCCTTTGTCCAGAGGCTCAGACAGTGAGAGCATTAAACATCCTTCTTTGTTCATCTTTCATTGTGGACAACGGGTGTGCCCTTACACAAGGACCGCCAGATACCCCCTCAACATCAAGGGGGTCTGAGTCTTGCAATTGCATCTAGACTGCATTACATCTATGTTCCATCTGAGCAGCTCAGATATATGTGGGTCTACCGCCTTAGCTCAATGATACTAATTAGCAGCTATGCATGTTCAGCCATCCCTCCCTGATGAGACCAAAATGAATAATCCTGACATTGACAATCCCAAAGCTTTGACAATTGGACTAGTCTGAGCAGGCTTCACAAATTGAAAGATTTCAATATCAGATTGATAATCCTGGGTTTTACTCAGCATAAAGTCATTTGTCAATTTCTGGAGATATAAAACCCCAAATTTGAACTTGAGAACTTAAATTTTGGAAAATAAATTCAAAGTTGAAGCAATGCCATCACCCAGTCCCAACTTCTCACCATCACTGATTGATGGAAAATATTATCTTGGTCCATCTCAACTTTGCATCAAACCCACTGAATCCATAAGGACCAAAGAAGAAGGTACATCTGTGAACTTTTAGGATCTTCTTCATCAAATGCATCCATACCCATCAAATTAGTGACTACAGCAATATTCCATTTATCTAATAAACACTGAATTAATTTAGATCCATATGGAGATGATAAGATTTCTTGACAAGCATAGACAGTGACTGATGCTCTTTTGGCATTCAAAATCATATTAGAGGCTTGTTTCAATAAGCTGGCGCCAGCTGTGAGAATTGAGATTGCTTTGTGAGCCTTGAAATTATCTTGGACATGATTGTAGAGGATTAGAAGGTAAGGCACATATTTTAAAGGAATTTGTGTTCTCAAAATACCAGCAGTCATCTTATTTGCTGAGTCAGCTTAGACAGGTCCAGGTGGTCCAGAAGCAGCAATATTTGTCCTACACAAAGTTGATTCTGGAACTTTTCCACAAATTTTCCAGAACTGCCCCAGGACACAGATTTGACTGTGTTCTGGACTCCTGGACTTGTGAAAAGCAGTACATGTTTGAATGCCCTTTTGCCAGGGTGCAGAAGCATTCTGGATTTCTGAAAAATGTTCTGGAAATTTTGTGGAAAAGTTCCAGAATCAACTTTGTGTAGTATAATTGAAAGCTTCATTCAATACAAAACAGCAGATCAGTGATATTTTGACCATCATGTTACATTTGATACAACTTAAACTAATTCCAATCACATCAGCTTCTTGAAAAGCATCACTACCAATCAGGCTTCTTGCCACTTGACCGGTAGAGACAGTCCAATGCTCTTATAGTCTTTCAACAATGGTAGTTTGTCATGGACCTGGTCAGCACTATTAGATATTGGAGAAAGGCCATCTGGACCTTTCTTCCAACATCTATCGGCCAATTGTAAAACCCAATTTATTGATTCTTTATTCACAAAGGGGTGCTGGTACTCATATCTTGGTCAAACACCTAAGCTAAATCAAAAATCATTCTTACTTTTCAAACCTCTTGGTGTGTACACGTTGGTGTGCTACCCGGGAACAGACATAGTGCTTTTCTCTTCTATGTAATGCAGATGGTTCTGATAAGCTTCAGCCTTTCATCTTCAGAAAGTCACTCCAACCTGCCTGCTTGAACAAGAGTTCCAGCTCTCTTGGATATCATTACTGGAAGATTGAAAAGGCCTGGATGACCTACGCACTGTTCTCTGAGTGAATCACTCACTGGGATAGGGAGCCCAAGCACAAAAGTTATTGATTATTCTTTTTGTTCACAACTTTTTGGGACATGGTGAGCCCCTTACTATCAACTCACAAGTATCCAACTTGAATTCTTTGCACCAAAACTTACCTCACATGTTCAGCCGCTGGATGCTGGCATTCATGCCTTGCGGAATGCTGATACCAATTGGAGTTCATAAGCTATGCTATCAATTGTGATGAATCCAATGGGCCTGTTGGCCTGATCTACAAAATTAACCAGCTTGATGCTATGGAATGCTCCAAAAACCTTTGGTTTGATATTATCAATTCAACTATCAAGAACTGCTTTCAAAAGTGGGAAATCATCTCTCCCCACAAGCCCAATGGATCTCTGGAGGCAAGTGATCTGAACAGTATTCAAGATATCAATCTAGACACAGACCCAATAATCACTCCTTCAGCTCAACAAGATCTCAAGCAGGATCTTCAAGAGCTAGTGTCATTGAATGTTCCTCATAAGAAGAACATGATGTCTTTTTCCAAACCCTCAACTCCCATGAATGCCTTGAGATGTGGACTCCAAAAGAAATTTTTGAAGCTATCAAACAACACAACTACGGCAAGGCTGTCACTATACTATACTATACTATGCTTCACTATACTTGGTATAGTATAGAGTCCAACTATACTGACTTGAACTATACTTGGTATATCATAGATGAATTAAACTCAGATATACTATACTTGTGAGGAGTCAGCAACTGTTGGGCTGGCTCTTCACTAAAAAAAGGTGAAGAGTAGACAAAGATGAAGTCTTCACTTGGTACACCCAAGTGAAGACTGTGGTTAGTTGACCTCTGAAGAGAGGATTGATAGCCAGTGGGATGGCTGAGTACTCCCTCTAAGAATCTTACTCGGAGCTCTGGTCGATCTTACAACTCTGGAGCCTGCAGTAATTTAGACTCTGAGGATTCAGAGGTGCTGCTGGGTACTTTAGACTTTTTCAAAGAGGAACCCTTTGTAAATTCCAAGCTTGTTCTGTTAGCTATTAATCCCACCAGCTCAGAACACCACTTGAGGTTTTACAATAACCTGAGCAAAGACAGAAAAGAACTATGACGAACAAAGTACAACAATAGCACTTTACTCAATATTCTTGGTGAAGAATCAAGTAAGTTGTGATGATGAGTTGTGTAAAGATATGAGGTTGTTGTTCTTCCAGAGTGGGAAGAAGAGGGGTTTATATATCCTAGACCTAGGTGTCAACTTGTGGTTGGCGCTTAGGTTTGCTTCTTCTTTGGGTTAGGTATGGGTTAGGTTTACTATCACTAATTTAAGTCAAGTAAGTCTTGTTACTTAAGTGACTCTTGATACCAAGCCATGAGATGTAATCTTTATGGTTTTAAACAAGTTACAAATATTTACATATGTATTTCATATATTTACATGTGTGTTTGTTAGCCCACGGTCCTGTACACAGGGCTCAGGACTGACAATACTATACTATGCAGTATAAGTTGTGTATAGTCCATGTATAGTTTTTGTGTATAGTTTTTTTTGGCAGGGAAAAGAAGCCAAAAGTATATTTTATTTTTTTCCCTACCAAGAAGTATACACAAACTATAAACAACTTTGAGTACTCTGATAGTAGATAAATTGATACTATAGTGAGTATAGTTGGGTTAAGTATAGTTGCAACAGAGTTCAGTTTCAACTATACTATACCCAACTATACCTACAACAGTATAGTATACTGGCACTCTTGGTCACAGCACAGAGATCCCAGCTCCAAAGCACTCTGAGTTTGAGGCAAGTACCTGCTCAGCCAGCACGTAATCCTGTCTGCAGATGTGGTCACAGATCACCTTGGCATGAAGATTCCAATGAAGCTAAAGCTTGTGGGAGGGCTGTCTGTCAATCCCTGCAGGTCTTTAGGGCAGCATGCTCCAAAACACTCGTATGGCCTACCCTTTTGTCATTCCTTTCTCAATCATCTTGAATACACAGTGAAACTAACTTAACACAAGTCCTGATTCTTGCAGGGCTCTTTTAGCCTTTGCAAGCTTGGTGTGTGGAAAAGTGGCTGACTCAGAGATGGACTTAGTTAAGTTAGACAATGAAAGCGCACTGCACTCATGTCTCAACTTTCTGAACAAAACTCTGCAATAAACCTTGAATCCATTTGTATGGGTTATTGCAGAGAATCTCGCTAGCCCATAATCTATGAAAACCCATACCTTTTGTGTTCCACAAAACCATGTGGGCTAGCTCTAAATTAACTAAGTCCCTTGTGCAGAGACAACTATATGATGAATCAGGCTGAGCCCTGGACCCAAGCCCCTAACCCTTGGGCGCAGGTTTGGTCACGCATTTTTTGAGACTGACACATCGGGGTCCCCAGGGCCATAGGGTACAGCCGCGGGGGGGAGCTTGTTATAAAGTCCCCTACCCGCGGGCTACCCACATTTTATGAGCCAAAATGATGGATTTCAAATCTGTAGAGATGAGGCAAAATAAGTAAAAAAAGTAAAGACCGTGAGGATAAAAAAGAGTAGAAAACAACAAGAAGTAAAAAAAAGGAATGGAAAAAAGGAAACTTATAAGCATATGATGAAAAGCCTGGTTCACAATCAATTGCTATCATCCTCAATCACAATTTGATTTCCTGAATCTGAAAGTCTAAGTTTAGTGGGGAAAACACAGCCCCAAAGAGGCAAAACCACTCCTTAAGGCACAAAAGAACTTCCAAACTCATAGGAGTAAGAAAAGCATGTTGAGGTCCTATGATTGACTTTGTCTTACTAAATGCTCCTTGGATGGGGTGCTTGTAGCCAGAATTGCAAGGTACCTCCTTTCCATATTAGCAAGTCCTGGTAAAGACTCCTCCTTCCCTTTCAAAATTGTCAGCCCTGAGCCCTAATCACAGGACCATGGGCTAACAGTACCACATGTAATATTAAAATATTGTATAAAGCCATAAGCTACATCTCAAGGCTCAGTGTCAAGAGCCACTTAAACACATGTATGTAATGTATTAAATACATAATAAATCTAACCCAAGTGACAACCACAAGTTGACACGTGAATAGACAAGACTCACACACCAACCACAAGTTGACGCTGGAACTGAGACTATATAGACCCCCCCTTCTTCCCTAGAATCATCCCCCATCTTTTACTACCATCACAACACAGAACCACATTTACTTGACTCCTATTGAGAGGATCTTCAAGTACGTGGTTAGCTGTGTAGTTTGTTAAAGACCATTCTTGAGCATTATGGGTTCCATTGCTGAACACCCAAGGTACTGATTTCTATGAGCCCAGGGCATTCATTGTCTCTAGAAATACACCTGAAAGTAGCAAAGCTTCCTCCTTTTTACAAAGTCTAAAGTAGCCTTCAGGATCTTGGGTTTACCAAAGTGTAAAGCCTGCCTCTTACAGTCTCACGAGGTTAGAGTGCACTAGCTCTTAATTGCCCTTAATCTCTTTACACTACACAAAAGATAATATTTTCTGGGCAGAAAATTAAATTATTGATACACAAAAATATTGAGAGGCCAGGAGAAGGGCAAAAAATAAATAAAAATATGCATCTTGTTCCCTGCGGTGAGAGCTTCACTCTCCATATTTTTCCATATTTTTACAGTCTGTATTGATAAGTGTACTAACAATAAACCTTCATAATCATCCAATTACAACCTGTAACAAGCACTGAAATTTGGCTCATTAGTGTTTAGAGAAACTTTTGATTTCTGAAAACACCTATAACTTTGTCAAATCTGCCTCAAAACACTCGATTTTAAGTGCATTAGAAAGCTTAACTCTTCCTCTCGAACTTTCATAAGATCAAGAACTATGTAGCTAGTATGACAATCATTCTATGGATCTGTATGTACAAATGTATAAAAAAGATGATATCTTTTTTAGAAGACCAGCATGCTGTGTGGTCCTATTATGAACTATTTGGAGGACAATTCCAGCTTACCAATGCACCCAAAATCGAGCGTTTTGGACCGGAATTGAAAAAGTTATGAGTATTTTCAGAAATCAAAAGTTTCTCTAAACACTAATGAGCCAAATTTCAGTGCTTGTTACAGGTTGTAATTGGATGATTGTGAAGGTTGATTGTTAGTACACTTATCAATATGGATTGTAAAAATACGGAAAAA